AAAGAGGCAAAACTATTAGGCTACCTTGTTATTTATTTATTGCTTTTTTGGGGTTGTTCGTTTTCTGATTATTTAACATTTTACTCCAGAAAAGCAGAAACCTTATAAGAAACTATTTATTTTACATGATCGTCTGATAAGACAAAAAAGTATGCTTCTCTGCGAGTTAAGGATCGCATGGTTCACATGTTAGACAATATCTGTGAAAAAGATTGAAAGTGTTTGTCTAATCTTTTCCTTTTTTGTTCTTTGTTTTTTCTAAACTAAAAAAAAGAAAATCCAAATAAATAAAAAGTTAAAAGAAAAAAAAATCAAGATTTTTTGTTGTGAAAAAGGTCATTTAGGCAAATAAATATTTTAGTTAACAGATGTTCTATAATGTTGCATTAGAATAAAATTAGTCATTTAGCTGGAAAAACTACAGATATTTATGCACAGGTTCAGATGTTTCCTCACATAAAGTGCACCACTGTTTTTCATTTGCATAAAATATATTTAAAAAGAAATGGAAATACAAAATAACAATAGTTAATTAAATAAAATTGAACTGAGTTGACTTTTACAGAGCCAAATAACAACAAATGCAAAATCTGTTTATATGAACAAACTGCTAACCTGCATAAGACCTAAAATAAAATCATACAGTTGGGTTTGATGCATTTACATGTAATAATAAACATTTATGTTATAATTGAGTAAGAAATTGTTTGTCTTTCATAAGTAAAAGAGCAAAGTTTGGTCTCTGCTGGGTATGGCCTAAAATGCAAATATATTTTCATTGATGGGGTTGAATTGAAATAATAAGCTAAATAATGAGTTAAAATTAGACTGTATCTAAACTCTTTTTCACATTAGCAAATTGGGTTAATAAATGTCATTATTTCATATAAACCTTGGCGGGACATAAGGGCTTTATTAAAACAGTCACTCGCTGTAAACTTGTGTCTGAGTAGAATAATTCTGCTTTTGCAAAGCATGGAGATGACTTCAGATGCAGCTGAATCCTGTTGAACCTTCTCAGTATAACAATAACAGTAGCATTATTATTATTGTGATATTTATACTCAAAACTGGATGGAGCCTTTAAACACGAGTTATACTTATTGTCCGTGATAACAGCATACATCTCAGAATCTTTCAGGGCTCCAAACTCCGCTCTTTCCATATGATGTTTCACACTTTTCAAGTTTGAGAGAACAGAATTTCCAGCTTCTTAATTTTTTTCGATATCATTAGATGCACAAACCCTAACTTGTTTCCTTAGTTTCTTCTAGCCGTGCTGTCAGTTATTTGGTACTTGATGTATCTCCTTCTGGAGCCTGAAAGATGTTCCAAGCTTATGGGAGTCACTTAGGATGAAAGAATTTGCTAAATGACAAAATGTAAATTTAACACAGCTTGGTTTGTGACATTCAGAAACTAGCAGACTGGCTCAGAAGAATGATGTTCGCTCTGCATAAAAGCACTTGATCTTAGTCTGTAATGCTCAGCACAAGTTAGCAGACCTAAAAAAGCAGTATATTTAAGCGGAGACACAATATGTACCTTGGATATTGCCACTAAAACAATAATATTACTGAGCATAGAATTTGAACCAAAAAATTAATTAACGAAAAAAGCAGTAAAACAAGCCGTGGATGAAGGATTTACCTTTTATACTTCACACATGCCATGAAATTGTTGGTTATCACAGAAGCTTTTTAGTCTTTGTGTTTCTTTTATTTATAAAAACAAAGAGGTATAGGTACTTAGCTCAGTTTCTGGTTAGATGTCATGATGAGTGGAAGCATGAGCAGCATTCAGGGAAGTTCTTGTAAAAAAAACCCATCAGTTTCATGTTTTGCTGTCCTCCTGCAGTGTGATATTGGCGCTGAACTCCAGAGCACACTCATGTCAGACGAAACAGGAGGCTTACTGAGGGAACTTTAACCGAGCATCACGTTTAGCTGGTGGAGCAGGGAGCTAAAACTCAGGGATATGTCTGGAAGAGGTAAGCAAGCCACACCAGCTGCCGCTGCTGGCTTTTATTCAACATGTAAAGTATTTTTGTTGAATCACAATTAAATAAAAACAGACAATTCTGCATTTTTGTTTTGCTCAGAAAGCTAAAATCGATCTGTATTCTAACGAGCTGTTAGAGATGACTGGGCTTTTTTTGCTTGTTGGTTTTTATTATGAAACAATGGAAACAAACTTGGAAACAGCAAGCCAGTGAATTTAATCCTGCCTTAAAAGAGAGAATACCGATTATTGATCAACTTTTCTTAGCACATTACAAAGTCGAATTACACAGATATACAGAAAGACTTGATATTTTTAAAATAATTTTTGTGTAATCTCTTTACATGCTAAATAGAGTCGATAATATGCCCTTAACACACAATTTGTTCTCATGAAAACAATTCCAGTTGTTTCAAGGACAAACTGAACTCTTCCTGCTTAGAGGGGGGAAATAAGCTTTAACATAATTTCTTGTTATTTATGTTTTTTGGTCAAGCATATTACATTGTGTTTGAAAATCATTAACGGTAATTTACTTTGTTTTATACATTCATTACATAAATGTAGCTGGTATTGTTTGAATTTTTAGTGCTATTATTACTTTAGGTATGAGCATATATATATATATATATATATATATATATATATATATATATATATATATATATATATATATAAAAATTTTTCTTTTTTTTTTTTTTTAAGTTAATCTGAGTTTCAACTTACTTTTACTTAGTAATCTGTGATCACATGTTTACCTGATATGATGGTGGAGCAAATTTCTTGGCAGTTTTCAAAATGTGAAAGATAGGTACACTGTAAAAAAATTAAATCTAAGTCAATGTTTCTTAAAATAAGTAAATATTTTCTGCAATTAAGCAGGTAAGTGAGACACTATGTCAATGGAACAAGACAATTTACATTTAAAGTAAGAAAAAAACAACAACAGTCTCTTATTCCAAGTGCATAATGTCAAATTATCTTATTTTAAGGGTAAAAATGCTCATTCCATTGGCAGAATACATTTATTTTAAGAAATTTTTACTCATTTTCAGAATCGTTAAAGACTATCTATCTATCTATCTATCTATGTCATTGGTGAATCCATGTTTGTGCGCGTGCTGTGCGCTTGGACCCCCCGGCTGCGCTCTGCTTTAATATCCTGCAGGTTGATGAAGCTTGGCAGCCTGTTTCTTCTTTTTTTTTCATCCTTTTTTTGGCCACACTCGGCTGGCAGCGTTAATAGAGGCTGCCCTCCTTCGTCCGGCCGCCGTTTGATGTGGAAATGAAAGCTGGGGGACTCAGAGGGTTAAATTAAAAGCGCTGCTGTTGTTCTGGACGCTGAGCAGGAACTGCTGGAGCTGGACTCTCCTTTTCTGTCGCGGCGCATGAAGAGCGCACCACCACTGCTGCTGCTGCTGGTTGTAGTTCAGAGGGAGCAAAACCGTGAACTAGAGTCCCCATTCTGCATTTATGTATTAAACACGTTGACTGCTGTCAGCTTTCGCGCAAAATTTCTGTGACTTCTTTGTCCTTATTTCAACGGTTCAAACGGCATAATGACACCTATTATTCCAGTTGACTTATTCTTATTTCAGTTTGAATTACTTGAATAACCTTTGTTGATCTTTGCAAAGAAATGTACCTTTGTTTTAACTCCTGCGAAGCACTATGCCCTACGCTTAATTTAATTAAAGGTGCTTAAGTGTTTGACTAAACCTGAGCTTTATATTTTTTAACAGTGCTGAAACTCAGTGGCACATAAATAAGAAATGGGTACTAAACCAACAGGGATTATCCACAGTAAGCAGATCAAATATTTAAATAATCAGAAAGAATCTTCTTTGCTTTCTAAAGTACAACCTAAAATTAAATATCTTTTTCAATAAATGTCAAGTTGAAAAAAGAATTAAATAAATAATATGAATTATAAATTCAGGTTTTGTTAAGTTATTGCATTGTGTTTAATTATATTATACATATGGTTTGTTTTACAAAATTTTTGCAAATAATAATATAATAAAAACTTATTATTTTTAGGCATCATAAATAGAATAGAATAGAATAAATTATCAGGGATATTTGAATTATCACAGCAGTCAACCATTTAGCAAAATTAAAAATCTACAAGTAAAGTTTGTGTTTAAACAGCATCAATGGATCCAACAATACATTTTCGGCATCAACCTTTTCTATGGCAAGAAACGTAAAATAAATAAATAACTTAACAAATTGCAAACACCACAGAAGAAAGAAAATATGTATAAAAAATAAGGGCAAATAAAAAAAAACGCCAAGAATATATGACATCTACAATAAAAGCAGCAGTTTATTATTATCTTAAGGTGGAATTAAACCGTTAAACGGGTGGCAAGAGGTCAAAAAGTTTCTGTTGAGTTTCTAACTAAATTTAAAGTCCTGTTCCAAATCCGTTGTTTTTACGGAAAAAAACTGGCAGCTGTGGTTGCCAGAATAATCCCGTAGAAAATACAACAAAACTGTTAACAACATTACGGAACAACTTGTACATTTTACTGGGATTTAATGTACAATAAATAATGACTAAATGTACATTTTGCAGTTATTCAGTGTACAATAAGCAGTTTTAGGACGTGAAATTTACAAGTTGTTTCGTAATGTTGTTTACATTTGTACTGTATTTTTAACGGGGTTATTCTGGCAACCACAGCTGCCAGTTTTTTTCGGTAAAAACAACATTTCTTTTTAAAGATGTTTACATTTGTACTGTATTTTTAACAAAATCATTCTGGAAAAACAACAGTAAGTATATATATATATATATATATATATATATATATATATATATATATATATATTTTACAGTCTTACTATCTACATTGCTTCAAATTACTTCTAAATGAAAAGTCAAGCTGTAACAAACCACTCATCAGACAATATACAATTCACAATAACGCAAATTTATTGTTGAAAAAATAATGAGAAAGATCATTAAAGTGTGTTTGTGTGTGTGTGGTCGCACTTCTGTTTGTGAGAGAGAGGGATTGTGAGTGAATAAATGTGAACCTTGTTAATATAGAGCCACGAAAAAAGGTGATATAGGTGTTCATCGGCTCCATCACTTTGAAGTAACACCTAGGGGAATAGAGAAGAGAAACAAACACAATAATCTCCATTAGTTTAATTAGCAAAGTCAATATAATCAAAGATAACAGTAGCACTAGCACACACACCTTTTTAAACAGCTCGCCATTCATGGAGAGCTTGTGAATCATGGTAAAGGCTTGATTAACATGCAACTGCATTGCTTCTGGAAGAACATCTAGAGAAACATATGGGTGTTCACTGTCGCGGTCACTTGAACAACTAATGGAATAGAGAAGAGAAAGAAATACATAATCTCCATTAGTTTCATTAGTAAAGTCAGTCAATAATCAAGGACAACAGTAGCATTAGCACACGTACACTGAACACGTGGGAATTATGTACAGTACATCCTGAAAGTATTCACACTCCTCAATGTTTCACAATTTGTTGTATTGCAGTCATCTCCTTCAGTCAAATAAGTTAATTTTTTTCTCCTTGATCTAGACTCAGTGATCCATAATGACAGCAAGAGTGTTATAACATAGGGTGTGAATACTTATGCCCATGTGGATATTTCAGTTTTTTTAATGATTTGCCAAAACTTCAACAATTCTGTATTTTGCTGTCATTATGGGGCACGGATTCTAGATCAGGGAGAAAAAAATGAACTTATTTGACTGAAGGACATGACTGCAATGCAACAAATGCTGAAACATTGAGAGGGGTGTGAATACTCTCTGGATGCATTGAACATAATTCCCACGTGTTCATTCATAGTTTTGATGCCTTCAACGAGAATCTACAATGGAAATAGACATGGTAATAAAGGAAACATTGATTGAGAAGGTGTGTCCAAACTTTTGGCCTGTACTGTACCTTTTCAAACAGCTCGCCATTCATGGTTGAAAAGGTCATGAACCAAGTTACAGAAGCTTAGATTAACATGCAACTGCATTGCTTCTAGAAGAACATCTAGAGAAACATATGGGTGTTCACTATTGCGGTCACTTGAAGGAACATCTAATGGAAGAGAGAAGAGAAAGAAATACATAACCTCCATTAGTTTCATTAGTAAAGTCAGTCAATAATCAAGGACAGCAGTAGCATTAGCACTAGCACACATACCTTTTTAAATAGCTCGCCATTCATGGTCTGAGAGGTCCTGAATCAAAGTAAGGACTCTTGGATTCACATGGAGCCGTTTTGTTTTTGTTTGTTCCACTTTCGTCCCCTTCTCCGGATTAATAGAGAAGAAACATCTAGGTTAACAGAAGAGAGAAGAAACACATATACCACTATAAATGATACAACCATCTCAACCAGTCAAATCAGTACAAAGGAAAAGACAAAAAAGGTGAGAATACGGGTTGCAGTTTTCCATTACTTAAAGTTTAACTGGTAGGCGGGGAGCTAAGCGGCCAACCGTGAACCCCCCACATAATCCAACTTTTTTTATTTATTAATTTTTTTAAAGGTCTCATCATGCTTAACATGAATCAGAATGTTAACATTGAACATTTTGCACTACATGTTTCAGGTAGTCAGTGTATTTTCCAAACATTGCAAATTGCATTGCACCTTCCCCTAGCTCATGGAGAGTCATGTTCCTGTAATGCGTTTCCATTGCATTTTCAATGTATGGAAATACATTGACTACTTGAAACATGTAGTGCAACCCAAAATGTTCAGTGTTAACATTCTGATTCATGCTCAGTATGATCAGACTTTTAAAAGAAAGTTGGTTCCTTTGAATTATGGGAGGGTGCACCTTAAGGCCTATAGACATTAGACACTACACTCTGCCTATTGACATATCAATGTCTTTTTTTTCCCTCTTGATGCCAGACACCTTTGGTATAATGTATAGATTCCTCAGTTAAAGGACAACTTCGGTCAATTTCAACAAGAGCTCTATTGCTCAAGCTACTTGAGACTTGCCAGGGCTGAAGACGTGAGAAATTTTGGTCTAAATCCTATAGGTTTCCTTGAACAGAGAATTAGCACTGACAGCTAACCCATGGGGACATAACTTTAAATTGTGAATTTAACGCTCCAAATGTCAACGCCAAAGCTATGCAACACCAGCCGACACAATACAACACGACACTGTAATGTGTATGACTAGAAATGCTTAAAAAGTGGTTAAAACAGTGTGTTTGTGCAAGCAGCCATATACAAAATTTAAACAAATGATATGATAAAACACAGTGTAAAGTTCTGCCCCCATGGGTTAGCTATCAGAGCTAATTCTCTGTTCAAATAAACCTATACAAGTTGGACCAAACTTTTTCGCGTCTTCAGTACTGGCAAGTCTCGAGTAGCTTGAGCAATAGAGCTCTTGTTGAAATGGACCGAAGTTGTCCTTTGAGCAGAACATGTCATTTTGCCCATGAAATGAAATCGTTTTTGCTAAAAAATACTCAGGCAATTAGTTTAACAAGGTGTCAACATTATTTGATACATGTTATTTGATACATTGTATTTCAGTTAGCAATGCTACAGAGCAGTTATCTTGACTAAGATGGTGGTGGCGATGGGGTAAAGAAACTTGGTTATCATGCCAGTAGCCACAGAAGTCAGGGGTTGAAGCTAGCCCCTAGCAAGGCACTTAACCCCATGTTGCTAAATAGAATAGAAATAAATAGAACAAAACAATTGTAAAAAATAAAATAACATACCTCTGAAGAAATTCCGGGGTCGATGCAACCGTGGATGGGTAATGAATGTTAAAGCAGTAATAGCTGCCAAACATCATGCACAAGGCCGAGATGAAAGAAGAGATGTTCTTGTTCACGATGACTTGATCCATACTCAGCATCCGTCTCGAGGAATAGCAGGACTGCCCTATTTAAAAAAAAAAAACAGCAGCAATTTAGGGAACATTTCAACATGTCAGTAACTCGTAGCTCAAGTGTAAAACCAAGTGTGTGTACTATATGTATGCGAATGAAAAAAAAAAACTCATCTAAAAAAAACTGAAACAAATAAGAGATAGAGGTCAGTGTGTGAATGAGAGAGCACGTGTTCAGTCTTAGGAAGGCAGGTGTGTGTGTGTGTTCATGTGAATGTGTGAGTGAGTGTGTGAGAGAATGAGTGGGGGTATTTGAAATTAACAGCGGAGACAAAAACAATTACAGATGCTGCATGAACATAATTTAAATTAGAAATTAAGAAATTTGGGATATATTTGTGAGTGAGGTTAACTTACCACATACAACAATCGTGGGAGTCAAGGGAACTCTGTTGATGTCCACTTCTCTAGCCAGGCAAGTGTCCTCCACATAATGGAACATCACAACCCTACAATGCAACACAGAACCCTTTAACGTGTGCAATGTTCTCCCGCAAAAATGACAATGAATCATGTCGTGGGGAGCTTGAAACAGGCAAAATAGCTATTAGCTGCTAGAAGCCACTAGCAATGTGAAGTTCGCCTATCAGCCATTGAAATCTATAAAAACGCGCCGTTTTGTTTCACAAAATTGTCTTTTGACTTAACCTGATGCTAGAACCAGAGACATTACTTACTCAAACTTGGTGTCTGTTAAGTGCAACTGCAAGAGAGCCGAACACGCACGTGTACCAACCTAGCTAGTAGCCACTCTGTGGGACGTTGACGCTGATACGCAAATACAGCCTGTGAATGGGCGGAGCTAACATTTGAACCAAAATAATTTGATATTCTCCTGCAAAGAACAAATTATTTGTAAAATAAACTATCCTACATAGCAGGAATAAACAGAAAATAGAATTGTTTACTTACCAATGATTGGTTTCATGAAAAATTCCAATATATGTAGAGCAGAGAATCGATTCAATAAGTCCTCTTCCAGATGGCCATGGTTTGATTCAGCTGCGTTTTCCATTCAAATATCATCATGGATAGGCATCCCGTGTTAACTAGACCTACATAAAGCTTCACTTTCCTAATTTATTCTTAAAAAAAAAAGTATTGTCTTTTAAACACATTAACAGTTTTATTTGGTTTAGAGTTTTACGAAATGGTAAACAAAATTAGGTTAGGGATCTGTCGAAGCGCAGCCCAAAGACCCCTTATGATGAGTACCATTAATGGACTCAGTGCTCCCTGCCTGTGGGATTCCAGAGGCAGCTGATTGGTAATGGCAGTCCAAGCGACAAGCGGCTCGGGCGGTTGCCGAGGCAAAAACTCGTTTTATGAAATGTGCCAAAGAGGCTACTGACTTTTTTTTTAACAGGGCAATGATGTAATTTTAACTGTATGACTTCTTTTTGGCATTACAGTTAATTTGTGTTTACATTACATTAATTTGCTAATTATACAAAAAATTCTGATCTATTCAACATATTCTTACTGTAAAATGAACAGTTTTATTTGGTTAGGAGTTTTACAGTTTATCATTGTAAATTACACAATGCTTCATTGTTTTTGCATCTACAGTTTTTTTATGTCATGATTTTACAGGAATTCACTGTTAATTCTACGGATATTATTTACAGTGTAGGAATAACAAAATAATCCTTTTAACTCCCCTCCCTATCATCTGCAGGACACTTATTTGTTTCATATGTACTATAATTTCTAAATCTCTGACATTAATGACATTATAAGATTAAGAAGTTTCTTAGAGTTGATTCAATAGAAAATATTCCAAAAACCTGACATGTTTTCTTCCTAATTTCCAATGAAAAGTTTGACACAATCTTGATGCTTCAGCGGCTTAAAATAAGATCAAATCTGATGTTCAGTTTTTGAATTAATAATGATAAAAGCTGAGTTTTATTTTTCATTTTTTTCGAAGAAGAAAAAGTACTTTTTTAATACTAAATCTTTCAAAACTGAATGGTGTATCAAAATGACCGGAGGTTATGAAAACACTGGCTCTTCTTTAGAAAAAACTTGCATGTAAATGATCAGTTTTTAACAAGTCACAGGATGTGTTTTAAAATATTATGTGGAGCTGCAGTGAAGTTATTTATTTGCTTAATAGGGCAGGGTCATGGTTGCTCATGATTAAATCAGCAGAAATAAGTTTGAGCTTGTTTGTGGCTTGGGTTCTCTAAAGTTCCATGACATTTATTAGTGTTCATCCCCCCTCCTCCCCCAGGCCATGGGGGTCTTAACCAACTAGGTGGAATGTTTGTTAATGGTCGCCCGCTTCCGGAGGTTATCCGGCAACGCATCGTGGACATGGCACACCAGGGGGTTCGACCCTGCGACATATCTCGGCAGCTCCGGGTCAGCCACGGCTGCGTCAGCAAGATCCTGGGACGGTGAGTGTAACCATGGACCACCAACTCAACTTCCCTTGTCTATGATCTTTGTCCTGCTTACTATCAGAGATGTTTAGGTGATCTTTTCATTTACCCAATAACAATCTCTGTCAGGTATTATGAGACAGGAAGCATCAAACCAGGGGTAATTGGTGGCTCCAAGCCTAAGGTGGCCACCCCAAAGGTTGTGGAGAAGATTGCAGAGTACAAGAGACAGAATCCCACCATGTTTGCCTGGGAAATCAGAGATCGACTGCTGGCAGAAGGGGTGTGTGACAGCGACACGGTGCCCAGTGTGAGCTCCATTAATAGGTGAAAAACTTAATCAGGAAGCCTTCACTCTCTTATACGCTCCCTTCACCAAGTCTTAATAAAATATCAGCAGTGGGTCAGTAATATCTGTATTGCAAGCATTAACGGGTTAAATTGTGTCTTTTTTTGTTTGCAGAATAATTCGAACTAAAGTCCAACAGCCCTTTAATCTCCCTCTGGATGGGAATGGTCTGAGTCCAGGACATACCTTAAGTAAGCCTCAAATAGTTATAAAAACACATAAACAATAAAGGTCATAAATCCTCTGCTTAATCCTGTAATACGAAGGGACACTGATATATAAGGGTTAAGAATCTTATTAATCCATAAGATTAAGGTCATGACTTTATGGCATTAAGATCACTAAGAAAACGGCATGGCTTGTGCCCTCTGACTTAAACCTGTGGGTTTCCCTCTCTCTTATATCCAGTTCCGAGCTCTGCTGTCACCCCACCAGAGTCCCCTCAGTCAGACTCTTTGGGCTCCACCTACTCCATTAACGGCTTGTTAGGAATCCCCCCACCAAACACCGACGGCAAGAGGAGCCATGATGACAGTAAGGATTGGATTAAATTATAACTAGGCTAATCTGGAAAGCACAGTTTACACCTAAAACAACAAAGATCTGAAAAATGAGCCTATATAAAAAAAACAAAAAAAAACATAGGATTTGTCTCCAGAGGTCTCCATATGTATGCTCAGAAATGTCTAACATTAAAATATGCACTTAAACTTCAGATCAAACATAATGGAAGCATCATATATATTTCTAATCCTTTACTAGAGTACATGGTTGACAGAATGTTTTCTAAGGTCCGGGGCAGAAAGTTAATGAGGGCGTGTTTGGTTTTCTTAAGTGAATCTGTTAAATCGTTTTGTTTTCTGTTTTTACTACACCTTGCAGAGTTAACTATTGTGAATTTTTTTTAAAGGGCTGCTTCTGTTTTTTATTTTTATTTTTATTTAGGGTCCTAGTGAACAAGTTGTGAGCAGTTATTATTTTACCTTTAGTATATTACCTTTTTTGCATCTTTGTTTTGCATTACTACTCATATAATTAAGCCTATTCTGCCTTTCCTCTGTTTCAGCACTATGGTGGTATATAGAAGGTATCGGGTTTCTTTTACACCTGCTCTAGCTGTTCAGGAAGTAGCAGTTATTTATTGGGTTTACAGTAAAGGCCTCTATCAAAATATTGAGATATAAGAATGAGACATGAGTTCACGTGTATGACCAAAGGAACAAAACTAAAGGCTCATTATTAATCACAAGTCCTAGATATTTATTTAATGGATCATAGCTTTTTAGGTCTGGGTCATTATAATCACTATAGGTAGGTTTAATATTCTGCATAAGAACATGTTTGCTTTAAATTTTAAAAGTTAAGCAGGTGTTCATTCAAGATTCTGTCTTGTAGTTCTGTATTAACAAAATAAATAAAAATGCTAAATAGCAAAATAACTATGGTGGTAATAATCTATATCCTATAGATATATATGCATTATGGTGTGTTTTAATACCAGGTTATCATACATAAACAACATCAAGTGTCCGTTAAATAAGCCGTCGTTCAAACCATATGTGTTCATAAGGTGGGACAACAAAATTAAATCTAATTCTGTTCTTTATTGTTATGTTTTGTAATAAATTCTACAATAAATAACTGATTTAGTTTACACTGCTTGACAAAACAAACCTTGAAATCCTCTTCCTTTAATAAACCATGTTAAAGCTGTAAATTTCTATAATAACAATGTGAAATCAAATTGTTAAAAAGTTTGTTACTAATATTTAAAACAATTTTAATAAGAGACAGAAAACAACTGGTTCCTCTTTAAAAAGAGTAAAAATGACTGTTTATACAGTACAGCTGTTTTTTAAGAGTACCAATAACCACAATGTGGATATAACATTTGATAGATTAAGTTACATACTTCAGCAACTACAAGGGTATGACTTTTTCTAAACCTCATCAGCACAGCATAGTTGAGCTGAGAAGTTTTAACCAATATAGCAGAAAAACAGAGTTTAACCTTTACTCAAGCCCCACCCTCTCTATTGATCATCTATAATTCTCCTCCCACTTCAACTCAAAGTTATGCAAAATCAGTTATTTATGAGAAAAGAAGATTTTGACTTTTGAAAGAATTCTGTTATATTTCAATCTTCAAACATTTTAAGAAACGTATCATTTGCTTTAAAACCACAATCTAAGGTAAAGTCAGCTTAAAGAAAAGTGGTTCACAACTAAAGCCTTGCGGAACACCACACGTTGTGTTTGCTGTTTTAAAAACAAACAGAGATTAGTCTCATTATGTTCACAAATTAATTTACCAAAAAACAAAAACAAAGAACATAGTATAACAAAATTATAATACATTTTTTATCCCCCTTCTCCTTCCTCCTCTGATCCAGGTGACCAGGATAGCTGTCGGCACAGCGTGGACTCCCAGGGCAGTGCAGGCGTCCCAAGAAAACAGATGAGAGTTGAACACTTCTCCACAGCTGCACAACATCTGGACTGTGGGTTTGATCGTCACCACTACCCACCGGATTCCTTTAGCTCCACCTCGGTCAACAAAGCAGAACAGGTAGAACTGAAGATTAACTCTAAAAAGATGTGTGCTTGTTTTTCTTTATTATTATTATACACATTATAGAGCAATTGTCACGCAGTAGAAATCCTGTCTCTGATATTTCCTCATGCTCACTTTGCATTTTAAATAAGCTGCATTTAGGCCAATATCTAATCCTGTCTGTCATTTGTAGACTTTGTACCCACTGTCGCTCATCAATGGAAACCTAGATGAGGCCAAGACCAGCCTCTCAACAAGCAGCTCTGTCATTGGACGGAATCTGTCAGCACACCCAAGCTACACTGTAGTAACTGGTGAGGTTCCTGACGTTACATAACATCTCTGACCCACATTGAGAGAACAAACAAGCACATCTTTTACGCTAACATTTCCCCCTCATCTTCACCTTTTTCCTTATTTCAGCATATTTCTTTTTACCCCCTGCATTATTTTTCTCACATTCAATATTTGTTTCCATTTCTCTCACTCACCCGCTGCACGCCGGCTCTCACAGAGCCAATCCAGACCCTGCCGCTCTGTCTAAAGCAGGAAATGTCCCCTGAAGTTACCAGTACGAGCCCGTCACCAAACATGGCGGCGTCCACCCTGGCGTATGTGGAGCTGCAGGCGCTGCAGAAACCTGTTTCTGTTGGCAGCAGCTGCAATGGCAACAACAGCAGCAGCTCCAACCCTTATTCCAATGCTTTCAACTCATTTTCCCATCATGCACCAATGTATGGACAGTTCAGCAGTCAGTCTATCATCTCAGGTAATCCACCCATCCATCTCATTTTTTATTTGCAATCATAATACGGGGTTTTCTGGGGGGAAATGTGTGTGTTTGAGGGCTTTGAGGGCAAGAAAAATAAATGCCCAAAATATAATCTGGATGATGTATCAGTCTATCTCTTGTTTTAAGTGCTGTACATAATCAGCTATAGAAAAGCTCATTAGCATGATGGATGCAGGTAAAACAAGATTCGGTGTATAAACCTCAATTGATCATGTTTCTGACCAAAACAGTCTAAGGTAATTCTAAACAGATATGTTTTGACCTTGCTAGTTTGTTTCAGAAAAGCCGAGTATTAGATATAAATGCTGCTCTCCATTTTTGGTTCTGGTTCTGGGTAAACTTCAGTTAGAAAGCCGAAGTGGTGTCGGCGACTGACACACAGTCTAGTACATTACTGATAACTGAGCCAGTTATCTCTGCAGTATTGCTTTCTCATTTTAAACAGTTTGTCACTCCAAAAATAACAACATTCCTTTCGGGTTTTTTTCGTGGATTTTTTGATGTGCCACGGGTCATTGTTTTCCTGCTTTACTTAGCTTACTTATCCCCACTACCAACCCGGTGTTTTATTATAGTCTTTCTAAAACACTATAATAGAATACAAAGCTTCCAAAAGTCCCGATTCTGTTTGTCTTCAAAAAAAATTTCCCATAACTTTTGGGATTTTAAATAGACTTTTGTACTCTTAGTCAGAGGAGGGTTTGGCCTTCATACTCACAGGTAGATGCTATTTTTACACAGTTCCTACTATTTAAGCTGAGGTAATGAGGTCTACAGTGCTTTATATGTATCTGTGCTGTAGGATTAACTTTGGTAGGTCAGTGAGTCTTGAAAAGGTTCACCACTCTTTCTGTTTTCAGTGTTTATGGATTATGGTTCTCACTGCAATTAATTGAGGTGACAAAACTTTATAAATTATTGTTTAACCTTTTTCAGACTGACAGTGGCCAGTGTATTGATTTATCACCTAAATGGACTTTCTTTTTGGTCGTAATGTTTTGCTAGTCCTCCATGTGATGTGATCAAATTTCCAAGTCCAATGATTTTTTTTTTTTTTTTGTTCTTCATGTCAAGCTGTTACAATGGAAATTATAATTATTGTAGAAATTGCTAATCCAACATTTGGAAACTGCTATTGAAGTTTTCCAAGTATTTATGGGTTATGTTAAACTCGGTTGATGATTGGAAATATTTAAGTCTGAAAAAACATTAAAAAAAAAACTAAAACTAAAAAAACACCTCTACTAATACCTGAGTAAAAGTCATTTGGTAAGCTGGAAAATAGAGTTTTCCAGAAAATTATGAGTTCTTAGGATTGGCTGATTGGTTTCCGGACAGAGACTTAAAGCACAGGTCATAAATAGAGTGAAGCTCAGAGGTGTAGTAATGGCAGCTCATAAACCTTAATATTTTCCTTTTTTTTATCCGTTTGAAAGAATATTCCCTTTGCGTTTAGGATCATTGTTCAGTTAACACACCAAATAATTTTCAAGCTTCCATCTTTAGTACAAACATTAAGTGTTTCAGTTAGACTTTCCTTGATGTGACCAAATTGTCTGAAAGAATATGTTTGAGAAATCTTGTAAAACTGGAAGGTATCCCTAATTTATTGTATGAGCAAGACGATTTTGGGTTTGAATCTTGACCTTCCTGCAGATTTATTTTATTTATGCTGTTTTTCTTTCAAAGCTAATCTAGCTCCCTTTGCATAAAAAAAAACATGCAAGATAGTATGATGGCTTTTTCTTAACCGCCCGTGGAATTTGTGCCTAATTGTGTTGTGCACCCTTCACTGTGATCTGATTAATTTTGTTGTGAATGAAAAAAGTGAAACTGACCTTTTTAATATACAGGTGCTGGTCATAAAATTAGAATATCATGAAAAAGTAGATTGATTTCAGTTATTCCATTTAAAAAGTGAAACTTGTATATTATATTCATACATTACATACAAACTCATATATTTCAGATGTTTATTTCATCAAATTCATCATATCAGAAAATTAGAATATTACTGAAGACCAATAAAAACAAAGGATTTATAGAAATGTTGGCCAACTGAAAAGTATGAACATGAAAAGTATGAGCATGTACAGCACTCAGTATTTAGTTGGGCCTCCTTTGGCCTGTATTACTGCAGCAATGCGGCGTGGCATGGAGTCGATCAGTCTGTGGCACTGCTCAGGTGTTATGATAGCCCAGGTTGCTCTAATAGTGGCTTTTAGCTCTTCTGAATTGTTGGGTCTGGTGTATTGCATCTTCTTCTTCACAATACCCCATAGATTTTCTATGGGGTTAAGGTCAGGAGAGTTTGCTGGCCAATTAAGAACAGGGATACCATGGTCCTTCAACCAGGTACTGGTAGCTTTGGCACTGTGTGCAGGTGCCAAGTCCTGTTGGAAAATGAAATCTGCATCTCCAAAAGTTGGTCAGCTGCAGGAAGCATGAAGTGCTCTAAAACTTCCTGGTATGTGGCTGCGTTGACCCTGGACCTCAGAAAACACAATGGACCAACACCAGCAGATGACATGGCACCCCAAACCATCACTGACTGTGGAAACTTTACACTGGACTTCAAGCAACGTGGATGAAGTGCCTCTCTTCTTTTCCTCCAGACTCTGGGACCTTGATTTCCAAAGGAAATGCAAAATTTACTTTCATCAGAGAACATGACTTTGGACCACTCACCAGCAGTCCAGTCCTGTTTCTCTTTAGACGCTTCTGACGCTGTCTGTGGTTCAAGAGTGGCTTGACACAAGGAATGCGACAGCAGAAACCCATGTCTTTCATACGTCTGTGTGTGGTGGTTCTTGAAGCACTCACTCCAGCTGCAGTCCACTCTTTGTGAATCTCCCCCACATTTTTGAATGGGTTTTGTTTCACAATCCTCTCCAGGGTGCGGTTATCTCTCTTGCTTGTACACTTTTTTCGACCACATCTTTTCCTTCCCTTCGCCTCTCTATTAATGTGCTTGGACACTGAGCTCTGTGAACAGCCAGCCTCTTTAGCGATGACCTTTTGTGTCTTGCCCTCCTTGTGCAAGGTGTCGATGGTCGTCTTTTGGACAACTGTCAAGTCAGCAGTCTTCCCCATGATTGTGTAGCCTATAGAACTAGACTGAAAGACCATTTAAAGGCTTTTGCAGGTGGTTTGAGTTAATTAGCTGATTAGAGTGTGGCACCAGGGGCCATCAATTTTGAACCTTTTCACAATATTCTAATTTTCTGATATGATGAATTTGAGATTTTCATTTGTTGTCATTTGTAATCATCAAAATTAAACAAAATAAACATCTGAAATATATGAGTTTGTATGTAATGTATGAATATAATATACAAGTTTCACTTTTTAAATGGAATTACTGAAATCAATCTACTTTTTCATGATATTCTAATTTTATGACCAGCACCTGTATAAATCTGATCAAGTTTACAAACCTACATTCTGTGATGTAATAATTTTTTTCTCGTCGTTCTTTTTCAGAGGTGGGTAGAGAACTCAAATAGGAGTAGAATTATTTCAGTTTTTATGTTAAAGAAAAAAGTAGTTATCGACAAAATTATTCAGACTGCAATGGTATAATCATAACGTCTCTTTTATTGTTTAGAAATGATGCAGTCAGACTGACTTTATGTACAAGTTGTGCTATTTTGAAGGCAAAAATACTTACCATTTGTTATCAAAAGATTATAAAGAATTTTTTTCCAAATCCATCCTCTATCTGTTCTCCAAATAGCTCAAGTTACTCACAGTGGACAGAGTAGCAAGACATTTTTCTCTAGCGATAATACTAGTCAAAGAATAGTTGGATGTGTAGTAAACCAAAATTACTACTAGAAGTACATTTCCAAAATGATTAAAATAATTACGTAACTGTAACTAGTTACTACCCAGCTCTGTCGTTCTGTATTTCATAACTGCAATACTTTAGTAACACTGGCAAAAAACATCCAAACAACATGATTATGCCACCACCGTGCTTGACAGCTGTAGAGTGCTCCAAGGCTGTTAGCATCATATTTCTGTCTAAAGAAGTAACTACTTGTCTCATTGTCTGTGTGATGTTAAATATTTGCTCAGTCTGCATGAACATCTACACATTTTTGGAGATGCTAGATGTTCCTTCTCCATGTCAATATTGGTATATAACAAATTTCACTTCTTTACAGCAGTTTCCAGTTTAGAATGGCTTTGGGGTTTCATTTGTTATTCTTTCATATGGTAGGGACGGCCTGTGTTTTCTTCCTGATAAAAATGTTACAATTTGATGTTGCTTGGAGATATCTCTAAAAGACTATCCCAAGTTTTGCTAATCTTAAGCTATCGTTTTTAGGTCTTAAATAAGTTCCAAATAGTTTTCATAGTGTTCCTTTGCAGTCTTGGAAACAAATGTATTATTACTTTATTATTTGATAATTTTCTAGGGTTGAAAAAATATAAATTGGGGAGAAATTTTTCTTAACACTTTAAAAAAGAGATTATTTTTGTTGTTATATTTGTTTTGTTTTTTTAGATGGAAGGATTTGTACATCCATCATTGTCCCAAATTTTATCACTATCATTTTGCATTACTAACAGAAAGCAGATAACTAAAAAAGCAGAGGCCCATTTTTATTGTCTTAACCAAACATCAGAAGCCAGCAGGGGGAAAATAAAACTGGTTTAACACTAAAATGTCCAACATTTCATGAAAACGGAAACATCTACAGCAAAATATTTTCACCATCGATCCAATGGGTACTTTTAATCATGATCACTTATAACAATGTATTAAACTGGCCCGACCTAGTTATTATACTGTTCTCATTGCATGGCATCATTTATATTCATTTTTAAAATATATTTTTCAAATTATTCAAATTTTGTAGTTTAGGTATTTCACCATGGGGAAAAAGTTAAAATATAATATACAAATAAATAAATGAATGATATGATTATCATGACAAGGAGCGAATGTAAACCAGGTGGTGCCAGCATTAAATGGATTGCAGGAGGTTTTAAAAAGTTATTTCCAAAGTGAATTGAAATGTTTCCTTTTTTGTTTGTGTGCGTTTTCAGGGCGGGACATGGTGAGCTCCACCCTGCCAGGCTACCCACCCCACATCCCCTCTCCGGCCCAGACAGGTTACTCCTCCTCAGCTATCACAGGAATGGTCGCAGGTAAGGTACACAGCCTGAGGAGGGCATTTAACATAAAAGGGAACAAATGAGTCACACAGGTAGAAAGGACTAGAAGTAGTTCAGGAAGAGGAGAAAATGAGGGAGCGTTGGATGGAGGTTTGTAGATTAACAGGAGTCAGGCTGAGTTAATCAGTAGCCTTTGCCAGTGTGGTGATCTGTGCACATGTGCGCGCGGGTGCACACAGGCCTGGGGGGTACAGAGAACAGGCTGGGGGGTTCCGCCCTGCTGCTCACACCCCCCATCCAGACACTTCTGACCACATATCGCCATGGGAACCAGGGGGCCCAGCAGGGAGATGCAAGCAAGGGTGGGTGGGAAGAGATGTGAAGTCTGGATCCAAATGAAGAGTAGGAGGTCTTTGTTGTATGTATGTGTGCGTGTTCACATGTGTGTGTGTGTCTGTGTGTGATGTGCCTTTATATTTGAAGTCTGCCCTCCGAAGCGCGAAATGAGAGGGTCTGATTTATTATTTTTCTGGTGGGCTCACAGTGAGGAAGCGTTGATACACAATTACTGAGTGAAGGAGGAGGGGGTGAGGCAGGAGGAAGAGGAGAAGGAGGAGGTGGGGGACTCAAGGCTTCATTCCAACCAACATAATTACCAATTAGATATTGGAATGTTATAAAAAGAGAGAGAGAGAGTTAGTGTTAGTGAAGCTAAAGCAGGAAGTGCAGGACGAACAAAAGAGGAGGACGTTTCAGAGGGCAGAGGCTGAACGATGTGAGGGGCCGAGCACTGTAGAAAGAGGGCCCAGAGGCTGGGTGTATGCATGCACCGCTTAGCTGAGGGATTTTACCCTCAGCCATCCACCTGCACTGCAGATTAATGGTTTACATGCTGCACTAACTGCTGGTGAATTATGAGCTAAGCTCCAGCAGTTGCTGGCACGCAGACACATTCTGCAAAGCATGTCCCTTCCTCGCCCTTTAATAACATCACTTCATGAATTTTATCTGTAAGATGTGTCTCCTGACATTTTTTTTCATTATTTTTTAGCAGGTGCAGACTACCCAGGTCAGTCCTACAGCCATTCGCCCTACACCTCCTACAGCGAAGCATGGAGGTTCACAAACTCCAGTATATTGGGTGAGTAGAAGTGTTGCAAGATATCTTGTTAGGCATTTTTTATTAATAAGTTAAAAAGTCACCTCCTCTATGAAAGACAAAGTCTTCAGGTAATGGAACTATTTTCCCACTAATCTAGAGAAATTCATGATTTTCCATACATTTAAAAAGTGTCACTTCTACTGACCTTTTGATGTAAATACATTGGAGCATGATTTGAATTTAAACGAACAACTGTTATAAAGTTGGGTTCATGATGCTGTGGTCATATTAGGCTATTTTTGGTCTTTTAGTAAACCATCTGATCATCGAATATTAAGAATTTGAGCTACTTTTATGACACAACTTTATCTTTGTCCAGATGTCAAGTTTATATCCCTACATGACATCAAGAATGTCAAACAATTTCAATATTTGATCCAATGGAAGCAAATCGTAAAAAAACCACAGAAAGAAGCCAAATTTTCAATAATTACCAGTGAAATAGATGCTATCATAAGCCAAAGTCATACGTCTTGCAAAGTTTTTTAAATCTATCTATAGTTGGTACATTTGTTACAATATTGACAACATATTCTCATTATCAGTTCGTATGAAATCGTTCGAAGAGTTATGCACACTATTTTGTACGTTTTGGACGTTTTTCCTCAAAAAACCAGATCAGTGCGCATGCGCAGGCAGACAGACAAAAAAAGCAGATCCGCGGACGGACGTAAAAGTGGGAAAAACAGTGCAATAATCACTTATTCATGTCTCTAACTACGTTACTTGCTGTTTTATATCTTAGGGTTAGGGTTAGGGTCAGGGTTAGGGCTAATTGTATTTTAAATTCTATGTTCTTGAATGGTGCGTAAGATGCGCATGCGCATACGACGAAAAAAACGTCCAAAACGTATGAAATTACGGTGCATAACTTTTCGTACGATTTCATACGAACTCATAATGAGAATACACTGATATTGAGATGCTATAATGGGATTTTTATGTTACTCACCAACACAATGTGCTGCCTAATTATGAAGAGGAAGAAAAATTATGTTTTTTACAAAATGCTTTAAAAATAAAAAATCTGAAGCTTTAGAGGAACTGAATATAGGTGTTGTTCAGGTGGTTGAATCTGCTAACAACAACCACTACTCTTAAGCTCCACATATACATATATATATGTTACACATATTAGATAGCCTATATACAGATAAACAATGTGCTTGTCAGATGAAATCTAAACGTAAATTAAGGGCTATAAGCAAAACACCCTTAAGAGGGTAAAGCTGTTGTCCTGAACTACCTTTCCCCTTAGAGAAACATAAAAGTGGTGGCATCACTCTGTGAGGATGGTTTGCTTTATCCAAAGAAACTGGATAGAGCTTTTAATACAGACATTCTGGATAAAAATCTATTAATTTATTATGGGCTGTTTAAGACATACAGACAGAGCTACAATGGAGTACAAGGGTTTATATCAAAACATATTTATGTGTTTAAATGACCCAGTCAAAGCCCAGCCCTGAATACAACTGAGAAAACTCTTTACCTTTATCAGTTTGTGGTGGTAACAGGATCAAAACAGAAACAATGCAAGCGTTATTAAGCTTTTAAGGTAGAGTAAAGTTTCCTTATTTTGTCTAAAATGAGATGAAAATTAAAGAACAATCCTAGACAGAAGAACATAAAACAAACGCCTTAGAAAAAATTTCAGTAAAGTTTTTGCTTTACACTGACAACAGGTGCTTAATTTAAAGGATACAAGTATACAAGAGGATACAAGTATACAAGCTAGTTCACACTTAAACAACAGACAGTCCTTCTAGCAGACTTTCTACATCCATTAAAACACTTTTCCCTCTCCATCTTCCCGCACAGGCTCGCCCTACTATTACAGTTCGGCCTCCCGTACCGGCCCCCCCTCTGCAGCTGCCTATGACCACCTCTAGTCCCATACAGTGGCAGATTTAAGACATTTTGAACACGGACTGAAAAACATGTGCTGGCAGATGTAATGTCGGACCAAGGCATGGAAGTCAAAACTGGAAGTTTTGCTGGAGAAAATTTATTTTTTCTCACATCCTTTTATGGTCCACAACTTTTTATTGCATTTATTCATCATGACTAATGCTAACATACAGGGTGACTGATTCATGTTTACACACCTTTTCTGGGCCTGTTTTCTGTTTGATTGTGTATTCCTTTCTGTTGAAATCTCTTTAAAGCTGTTTTTTGCCAAAGACTTTTCTTTTCTGGCACATGTACAACTCACCTCCACAGATCAAGCTTATTGCTTGGAGATATACAACATCTGTTAACCTAACTATGCTCTATTTGTTTACATTGTGGATGTGTTTTTTTCTTTTTCAAACTTGAAAAGTTAAAACTTGTAATAAGAAATTAATTCATAAAGTTTGGCTGTATCCCTGCATGGAACAGCAGTCTGAATCAGAAATGCCCACTTTTATGATGCACAGTGCCCATCATAGAAAATTCAAATATCTGTCCAGCAATGTGTACATAGTGTAAATGATTAATTACTTATGGGGAGATGATTTCACTATGAGAATTAATGATGATCTGCAAGGGAGGTCAACAAAAAGGCTGGAAATACATACATTGTTTTTGCTTTGAATGAATTTGAGTTTGTAGTCATGCCGATGTTCTGATGTTTGGTAAAAATGGTGACTATTTTTTCTTATACTGTTATTAATATTATTGCAGATGTAAATATGGAATTTCTAAAGAAATATTTTAATTAAAAGCATGACGAACTGCAGTTTACATGCCTTTTTTTTATCATTATTTAAAATGTTGCTGTTTCTTTGCAGCTTTTCAAAGGACGGGGTCAACGATCCAGAAAACCCACATCTGTCTCATTTATTTTTTCTTTTCTTTCCTTTTTTTTATTTTCTGCATCATGTAGTTTTATTTGCGCTCATTCTGTCCATCCCTGTTTGCAGCCTCATTATGGTAGCATGTTAACGAGTCCACGGTTCGACAGCGCCGCAGCCCACCTGGTGCCACCAGGAGGACGCAGGAGGTGCAAGGATGGACTCCTGCTACAGCGAGCCTCCACAAACTGCTAATTTAAGATCCAGAGCCTCTTATTTTTTACTAATCTAAAGTTTTATAGGTAACCGTTGTATGAGCACATTTGTTATTATTGTAGGAAGTAGGCCATTAGGTTTTAAGCACCTATTTAGCGTAAATAAAAGGTTAGACCACTCATTTCAGAGAAGTGAAGTTTCTCATTAACAATTACACTTGAAGTCACATTGGCTACACTGTAAAACAGTACTTTGTCAGCTGTTACATTTTAAAGATAAAAATGTGGTTATAATAAAAAAAAATCAGATTAATTTAGTAGAATATAATTTAGGTGTAGTTTTGAGGTAACTTCCTTAATTGTGTGTTTGTTCGGTCATTCAGGTTTGTCATTTAAGCTGTGACGTGCAGCAGCAGTGACATGAGTGGAGTTGTCCCTTTGTTTTTTTTGCAACAGTTAAGAACTAAAATTAAATTAATAAAGTAAAACTCCAATGCATTAACTGTCAAATTAAAATGTTCTTGCTCCCACAGAGAACAAAGCTCTTTGGGAATTCTAGTAACTTTATCAGCGGAACATTTTTGCATTTAGAAAACAAGAAACAGGAAGTTATGCTGCATTAGGCAGTAGCTATAAAAACTTTGAAACATTAAATGTCCTGGCCAGAGAGGACTTTGTTCTAATCTTTCCGCCTCAAGCTAAATAGCACATTTCTTTGTTGTTTCAGTCTTGCAACAAGAATGTAAGCTTGCAGCAAACATTTACTACTTTAGCCATAGCATAAATGCTAAAACTAAATCTCTAACTTGATTCACTAATTGTCAGTGAGCAACTTAGTGCTATTTTAGTGACATTTTTAGTACGAAACCATAAACAAACCTTTATATTTTCTTTTTTTTTTTTTTTTTTACAAAGTAGCCTAATGGGTACAAAAACCTGGAGAGACTCACATGGAGAGAAAGCAGCAATAAGAAAGTTGAAATATTTGTCTTTGGCAATGAGACCCAGACAGACGGAGTAAGTTCTGAATGTAGTAGATCTGTGTGAGCAGATAGATCTAGATTAGAGATGTCTTATCCCCTCGAGTCTCAGACTAGGGATGAAATGAAGGTTGAGAGGCCAGTGGAATGAAGGCAGTGAAGGAGCAGAGGAGAGTGTTAGTTTTCCTGGATACGGGGAGCGGCTTTGAAAGTTTAAATTAGTCGTGAATGATGATTGGCTAAGGTGATGGCATGGAGCGGCAATGATAGGCTGAAGCAAAGTTACACAAGGAGGCAATTGTTAGGCAGGTAAGAGTCTTCCAACTGGATATAAAGGCTTAATTTAGTAAGAAGTTAAATAAAAATGTTATTACATGTTATTTTCTTTCCAGCTTTAAAACGTAACAATTTTCCACTCAGTCATATTGATTTCAATCCAACCGCGTAAAAAAAACTATGCAAATAATTTCAAGTTTCATTTTATTAAAATTTTACATTAGTTTATGTTATCTGTAGAACTACAGATTTAGAATTACTAAATTAAAATATATTTGCTAATGATTTAAAAATTCATATTTATTCACCTTTATTATAAAAAATGTATCCATTCTGATTTACTGTAGTGAAAAAAAATCCTCAATGAAAATTTTACAGAGATAGCAATACTATACATTGAAGGCAAAAAAAACAAATTGATTTATGGATGGAGTTTATCTGTCATGATTCACATAAATCATTTGACTTTTCATTATAATGATTATAGTACTTTGTTTCAGTTTCCTAAATATTATTATTACTTTTTTCAGAGACAATGGGGATCAAGCTGAAACTGTTTCTAGGTTGAAGCAATTCAACGTTTTCTTCTACAATCAGCATATTTCTTTATATTTCAAACATGAGCTGCTCTTAACCTAATTTATTCTCATGATTCCATTCTCATTCAGTTCTTTTGGGATGTTTCTTCTCATCAATGAAATAATAATAAATAAATAAAAACCTTAACCTACAACATTTACAAAGATAGTTTCAAGTAATCACATGAAGATATAGAAATACTTTAGAGTTCTTATTTACTGGTTAAATGCATGCTTTCAAGCATTAAACATTAACAGTACTTCATGCCAAGAGAGTTAAAAAGAAAACATCACACTGCTCACATACATGAGTCACAGCAGAGATAACTCCTCTGTCCCTCTCTGGGCCTATTAGTGAGGAGGTTTCGGGCCACAGGGCTTCTGGTAATGAGCCTGCCAGCACAATACAGGCAGCGGGCCGGAACAGCTGAGAGCAGACAGCGCTGGCAGGACGAGGCTACTGGGACTTCCTACATTTAGCACAGAGATATACTGACACTGTGTCCGTGTGTGAGGTGCAGAGACAGAAAGTCTATCTTATGTATGGGTTCATTTGCGTGATACAACAGTTCTTGTGGCCCATTTTTGGGGGGCAAACCACAAAACTGTACAACTAGGGCCTCCCTGGAGAAATGACTGCCAAAAAGACAGCAGAGGAGTGTGTGGCAAACAGTAGGATGATGGGCTTTGGTTTTCCTGCACCAGTCAACTAAAAAGTTCTCCACTTATTCACTTATTTTCAATATGCAGACCAAGAGAAAAAGTATAATGTTAGCTGGAAATTCTGCCTTGTCAAGCTGCCCAATTTAGATTTTCCCTTTTCTTTTAGTTCATAGAGAGACACAAGTCATTTGATCACTGCTGGACTTTAAGAAATCGAAATTTCATGAGATCTGTACAGAACGAAATTTTGTTTTGTATACACTTTGTGTAAAAAAATGACAATAAAGTTTGTCTAAGTCTGACTAAGTCTAATTATAAGGTTGTGTTCACGGGCAGTTCATGGTGATACATGCCTGGTTGTTGTCCTTCTTACTTGAAATCGATGGTTTTCATTTCTATCACACAGGCAGAGACAGATGAGTTTTAAAGCTTTGTTAGAACTATTAAAAACCTGAAAAGTAATACATTTGTTAAACAGTCATCAGCAATTTCTTTATCATTTACAGCAATTTTAATGTGCATTTACTAATTTGTTGTAAAAGTTCAAGTATTCCATCTGCACATTTTAATGCATTTTATGGATTTTTTTATGCAGTTGCGTATAGGGGCATTATTATGAAGTGGAAGGAAAATGATTCCCTGTTTACAATTTGTATTTTGCAAATTATTATCTCACAGCTGTGTATGTATATGTACTAGGCCTTCTTCAATGAGATGTAGAAGCACCTTTTCTTGTAATTAAAGCTGCAAGTCTCAAGGCTTTACACATGGAGAGACTGAAACTTTATCCCTTTAAAAAAAAAAAGTCCAGGCTGTGTCAGATGTGATGCAGATCTTTGCCTGCATAAAAAGGCAGTCGCAAAGTTTAAGGCCAAGTCTAAGACTAAACCTCCATGTTTCACAGTGAGTTTAGTATGGGGATACACACAGCATGTTGCATGAAGGCCATATGAGTTTAATGTTTGTTCTCATCCAACCACAACATCAACCAAAAATCACCCTTATCTTAACAGAACCAACTGACAATATGAAGTGGGCTAACACATCCAAGCAAACCATACACACCTGATGTTTTGGAACAGTTACTAGACAGTCATTAACTGCTCAGGAGAAGGTTACAAGGTAATTTATTAAGCACACCTACAAGCACAGTGAAAGCCATTATACACCAATGGAGAGAGCACGGTGTTATGGTAAACCTTCCAAAGAGGAGTCACCAAAATTACTTCAAAAGGGTATTGAGAACTCATCTAGGAGGTCACAAGAATGAAACCCTGCAAAACTTATTTAAATCAGCTAAGGTCAGTTTTCACAGTTGATCATTAATAAAGAAAATTGGATAGAAGGGCATTCCTAATAAAAAAAAAAAGAAAAATGAAAGGAAAACTGTAGCTTTTAGGGTCTACAGTATGCAATAAGATTTTAGCATACAAGTCTTGGCATTAAGAAAGCGAAGTATGGCCTAAAAGAAACAATGACAGCATATTTAATTAACCTAGTGTAAGTCAGGACATTTTTTCTTTGTTGAAAACGTAAAAGTTTTATTTACTCCTTTTCCTCAACATGATCCTTTTCAACAGCAGTTGCACAGTACCTTTCTCAGAACTACCCCTCGCAGCATGTGCTGAACTCCTGTTAGACATAAAAAGGATATGCGCTGCAGAAACATTACCTCCACAAAAATGTTACCTTTTTTTTTACTTTATTGTAATTTGCTCCAATTAAACATCATTGTACTTACATATCACCATTTAGAAAACGTGAGCTTAAAACACAATAACCATGAGCTGACCACGCCTTCCTCAGATTTCAAGAGGCTATCCGATCCAGCATAAAACAGCTGAAACAAACGTGCCAGTCAAACAGGGTGCAGTGGTCAAACAGAGGGTGTTCCTGTGCACAGACAGGTGCTCTGTGCCTATTAAACAACACTTTGAGCCTGAAGGCAGGAAGCTACTGTTGACTCAAAGACATCAAGAAAAACGCACCTTTCAAAGCACACACACACTCACACAGAGGTGGATAAAATCTTCCAGGTATCAGGTACTGCCCCGAGGGAAAGATCTGACCTGAAGAGACCTGAGGAGCCAAACACACATCTCCTTTATCCACATACATTGAATTTACAAACAGATTTGTGAATAACATACATGTATTACTCAGTGGTGCTTAAAAACATGGAGATATTGCAGCATATGAACTAAGCCTGATGATTAGAAAAAGGTCCTGTTTGATTGGAAAGATGACATAAGATAAGATGGAGGAGATTAGATTTCAAATGTTCTCACTCTGCTCTAAAAGTTGCTTTAAACCATGAGGCTTTGACCTAAAGGCCCCATTGAGGCATGTTTGCCCTGCATCTAAAAAAAAAACACTTGGTTTTAGTATGAAGACCGCTGTCTGAGACATGAATGTGTGTGTTATTGTGTGCTGAGAGAGAAAGGGCAAGAAGAGGTCATGCTTTAAATGCCCCATAGCAACTTAACTCCTCCTAAGATGCCATTTTGCCTTGCAAAATTAAAAACATGTATAAAGATTTACTGTTTACATTTAGAGGATCTGATAGTAAGAAAATGTAAACTAAAGTTAGTAACAGCCTTATAAAAGTAAAGGTTAAAAAATATTAGATTCCTATTTAGACTTACTTTTGCAAGAAGATCAACAGGAAGTCAATCATAGTGCAGTTTATATATTTTGCTTTTTTTCCACAGCACAAAACAACAGAATGTAGTAAAAAATGAGGAGAAATAGCAGGTTTTCCAACATTTTACCAATAAAAATCTAAAATGTTTGCATAAGTATTTACCTAATGAGTCATTAATTTGCTGAACTGCATTTATATGCAATTTAAACAAAAAATTTGATACATTTGGGTTCATGGGAAATTTATGTTATATCTTTCTCTTTCTAAGTATATCAGGAGATATTAAGCAAGGGTAAAAAAGTGCAGTGTCAATATCCTCTGAATGGATAAAGTGAGTCTAAGTGAAAAAAAAAAAACACTTGAAGGAACCAAAGAGAGATTTTAAAGAGCCCAGACAGTGAAGGACACTTCAGAGGAGCAGGAGTCAAGAGCAAAGAAAGACGAGGATGAACAAAGACAGAGGAAAACCGAGCCTGAGATCTTTTTTTTCTCTTCAACAGTCACGCTATGAGAAATCAAGTGTTCATGCAGATAAAAGACGGGAAGTAACAAATAGAGCATGCGAGGCATCAGCTACAGATTAAGAGCAAGCATGTAAAAAAACTGTATTGTTTTTGTTGGGGTTTTTTGGTAATGGTATTTTTGGTGTATTTTTTGAACAAAAGAATACATCTTTAAATGTCACTTTGTGGTTCAGGACTGCTCAATGTGTACAGTCTAGGGCAGATGTATAGGACAAAAAAAATGCGGAATGTGAGAAAGTCTCTGTTTTGAAACAAGCCACTAATGATCCCAACTTGAGGTCTTGGCTTTTTAATTGCCCACCCAGGCCTGACTGAGTTGCCCATTGCTTGAGAACAGAGCAGCACACACAGAACAATAGAAGGCCAGTTCCAGGGGCAAGACACCCTCTGAACCCGGCAGCTAACAGACCCTGCTGCTCAGGCCCGATGTTATTGTTTGTGGAGATCAGCAGAGTGATGGCGTTTCAAAGAAACAAGGCCACCACCACAACTGCTGAAGTCATGGTCTGCAGGTCAAGTGAGAAGAGCTTTGGTCCTAAATAAGCACCTTCAGCATCCATTGTGGCACAGAAAATTATTAATTAAACATTCTATTTTAATCACTGAAAACAAATTAGTTATTCCAACAGGACCTTTTCGTTTTTGTCTTCATACTCTTGATCTTGAGCCAAAAATGACAATATTCACCAACAAGACTTTCCCATTTGATTACTTATCAACTCTGTGAAAAAAAAATTGGTACCAATTCATGGCCCGGAATTCTCTTCCAAACCACAGGCAATATTTATTTCTGCATTTTACTTTACCTTGTCTGCGAAAGGATTTTGTAAATATTTGACTAAAATCTGAATTTAATCAAACATTCATTTTTTTTTCTAAATATGGGAAAGATTTTTTTTAAGGGACCATGGCATTCCTTCTTATTAACCTCTTTATTCTGTAACAGTAAAAATGGCGTCACCTCTCGGCATGCCAGGCTAGCCCCTCCAGCCATTGTCACTCATGCGGCCAATCAGTCATCCTCATCAGCGGAATCTGACTTTATCTTAATGAGTTGTTGTTGTGTCCTGATTAAATGGAAGGTCCATCCATAACTAAGAATTTCTCATGATGTTTACTCACTAGAAGAAAAAAAATCTCAACTTAGAAGAGAGTTGATATGATGTCATCAGTTCCTGATCAGGTTCTGACACCAGAACCTGAGGTGTGGGGGTGTGTGTGTCGGGGGGTTAATTTGAGAAATCCTGTTCAACTGCTGATTAACAGGCTGAAAATACCCAAAACAGGACCTGTGCCAACTGGATGTCATCATTTACAATACAACAGACAACACTGTAACAACACAATAAAAGACAGAAGTGTATAGCCTTTTTATGCAATACTAAGATTTACAATGTCAATTTAGGATGATTATATTTAAAATATTTTTGAGGGGCCATCAAAATATATTTATCTAAACAAATAAAATTTACAAGCATGAAAAGCAGTAAATTGTTCAAAGGTCAGTCATATATAATACATATTCCACTTTTAATCTTACTATTTAGCATTAAGAAACCCTTTTAGTTGTATTCTGTTAATAAAAACTGATAAAAAAAATGGATCTGAATTATGGCAAAAACGTGTTCAGCAAAAAAAAGCAAAACTCAATGCTAATTTAAATAAAATCAAGACATAAGAGGAACATAAAAAAGCTAAATATAGCCTAACAAAATTACATTTAAAAAATAACCTCTAATATACCTTTTTTTAAATACTTTGATATATGCGACAAAATGAACCTTAAATTACTGATTCAATTTTCACAGCTAGATTTTCTTTAATGGAAAAATTAAGAAAGTCTTTAAGACCGTTTTGCCCTTCCAGTTTTTTTAAAGGGGTTAGTAAAAATGTCATGTTATTTTAGAGGTCCTTCATAAAAATACAAGAAAAACAACTAAGAAAAAACTTGATAAAACTTATGAAATCAAAATTTAACATACTGTATAGAACATATATGAAAAAGTGCAACATGAAAATAAACTAAGGCGCCTCCTCTTTATGTCGCAATAAGTGCTGTTCTACAGCACCCTCTTGTGGTACACATAGTCAACAAAAATTATGACCAAATAGAAAACATTCATTTGGATAAAAACTGAAACGTTATAAATGGTGAAACCACAATATTTTAGCTCATAAAAGATCCTACAAATTCAGACAAAATTAATTAACTTAGGTTCACATCTAAGAATACTATTGCTCATTCAGACAATCAAATACATATTTCCTCAGAGCTTTCCTACAGATCTTTGGAGGGTTTATTCTGCAACCACCAGCTGAAAAATGCCAACAGAAACGTCTGAATGTGCCAGTCAGAACAAATGGACCACTTTATGTCAGGCCTCTTTATTCATTCGGGGAACAATGGTCCTGCGATAAGTCCGTCTCTCAGAGATATTGCGTTTAACTTTGATTATTGTTGGAGGGGCCAGCTCCAGTTCCAAGGAAGGACTTGAGTAAGACCTTTTTAAACCAGCCTCTTCCTCGTCTTCATCCCCGATGCAGCCTGGGCAGGCAGCCTTGTCAAACAGGTTCAGGTCAGCGCTGCTCAATACACTGTCCTCGTTCTTCTGCACACTCTTCCAGGCCCCCAGCACCTCGATGTAGGTCTCATAGCGACAGACCTGTGGTTCAACAATAAACACTAAATGACCTATTGATCTTTAGATACTCATGCTTAAGCTCTAACAGCAACTCCACTACCTCATACTGCAGGTACTCTGCTCTCACACGATGTTCCTCCAGATCCTTGGTTTTAGCTTTTTTACTGTCTGGTGGGTTCTCCTGCTGATGCAACAGGTCAGCTTTAAAGGAATCCAGTTTTCCTGAGTGACATTGAAGCTGACGGTCCTGCAAAGAGAAAAGAACAAGATAGGAGATTACAATTACATTTAAGAATCTCTCTTTATCTGGTTTTATGTGGCAGATTTTCCACATAACCAGACCAAATGTACTTTGTTTGGAATGCATAAAGTAGAGGGAAACAACCTTTGGATAAAGGGATAATAATTTAATTAACACATTGTTGATAAAACCATTTTATAAACACTAATATGGAGGCTGTTTTAGAAATGCTGCTGATCAAACATCTATAAATTTATTAGAAAGGCAGCTATAATGTTTTTATGTTAACTCTGAATGATGACCTTTACACTGTTGTCAATAACCTGAAAAGTCTCACTACACACTTTATAAGGAGAACTTCAGCATCACATTGACATAAAATAATATTGTTATAGTTCCTTAAATTGATATAAATGGTCTATTGCAATGCAAGGTGACATTTTCAGAAACATAATCAATAAAATATATATTGTAAGCCAAATCAAAGCAAGGTAATGTAATATTTAACAAATACATACTAGAGAGTTCACAGACTTCGAAGCTGGGAGGAGCGGCCTAAAGAACCTTCTCTGAGAGCCAACAGCAGCGGGGAACGGAGGAGATGAATGAAGGGCGGAAACCAAGTTGATACGGCTGATCCATGAATTCATCTCTACTTTAGATCTGAGAGAAAAGCAACCAAATGCTCAATTTGTTCCTGTCAAGCCCTTGTCCTACAAACAGACACAAACCAACTGGCTCTGCAGATTTTATACAACTTACGAGGCCTGGAAGAGCAAAACCCTCCAATCAGCCGTCTGAAGCCGGAAAACGTGTGGCTTCTTGGTGTAATCGGCTGCCGGCTCAGCCAGGGAATGGTGGATTGCCACAATGTCCTCGTTCACCAGCTGATCTCTGCGGTAATCGTTCTGACACACAGCACAGATAACTCAGCATGACGTAAAAGAGCTGCATGATGTTTGGAGAAGTAGGAGTTGAGTCACTTACCTTCTGTAAGTAAAGAGTCATTCCCTTTAGCACCCCAAAGAAAGTTTTCCATCCCCTTTTTCCCCGCGGAGCTGCCAGCAAAAAGAAACAGTCAGTAGGTTCATAAAGACAAATGAGTAACATCAGCAACATTAAAACCTCATCAGAACATGTCAAACATTTATTTGATCTAAAACTCAGCTTCAATGTTCAAAATGGGAATCCAAGATATTTTTAATAACATCATGTCTTCCTAATGCGGTAGAATAAAGATACCTGTGTTGTAGAGAAGTACTTTATTACATGATTAAAATGATGACTTGGAAGAGAATTAAAAATATATTACTAAAATGAAAATCAGACATTGTGCACCAAGTGAAAAAAATCATGCAACTGGCTCCTATTCGCCCAACAGCTGCTAAAATCTCTCATCTTGTGATCTAACATAAGGTTTTGTCTTTAAACAATCCTCTCTTGTGTGTTTACCCTACTTACTTCGTTTTCCATTGATGTCTGCATGCAGCTTCCTCTGCAGGAATCCCTGTTTTACCACAGCTGCCTTTTGGTCCTGAGGTACATCAAGGAACGGGTTGGATTTTGAGCGCAGCGGGGCGTCATTTCCTGCACTTTCATCCACCAAGTTCTTCAGCTCCTCCTCATCCCTTCAGCAAAAATCAAGTAGAAAACGTGAATGAGCTCATGTTTTTGAATCATGGTCCAGGTGATGCTTTCTGTGTACAGTTTACTTACACAGCCCACTCTAGAGGTTCACTCTTTATGGAATTATAAAAACTCTGCAAAATGCAATAGAAAAGGTTCACCACTTTTAACATGTGAGGTTTAGATTTCAATACTGAGAATAAAAGTGTGAATGTTTTACTTTCAGCAGCTCCTTGTTGAAGTTTCCTCCCTCATTCATCCCATCCAGGTTGGTCACAAACTTAGAAGAAGACATGGATTTTCCTACATTCTGTAGACAAACATACGATGGCTTAAAAAGACGTGTAACACTGTGTGAAAAACAAGTTTCAGAGGCTGTTTATTCTCACCTGTCCATGCAAGTCAGTGTTGAGAAGCATTAAAGCACAGGTAAGAGCCAACACGGCCCCTGAGGATATCCAAAAGAGTAATAATGTCAAACGCAGATGTTACGCATGAATGCCCACAGCTGTATCTTCAAGCATGACTCATGATTATCTCACCTGAGGAGCAGTAAAAGTCGGGGTTGCACTCATGGAAACGGTTGGAGAAATGCTGCAGCACTCGTTCTCTTTCCTGAGTCTCTCCTATCAATACGACCACCTTCAGAAAAGATCTGGGGATAAGCAAAGGAAAGAGGATTAGAACATGTGTTTCATGAGGGAGTTTCATAAGATGTAAGATAAGATGTATCTATGTGTGGAATTTAACCTGAGGGCTTGATCCAGAGTTTGGTTGGAGAAGTCAAAAAACCTGAGGTATTCCTCTCCAACAGCCCGACTGAAGTCATTACTAAACACAGAAAAAAAATATATATATATTAGTGTTCAAACATAAAAGGAGACAGAAGGAAACTTATTTAACAGCTCATCATTTAAAGGAACTTGTGTAAATCTGCTTCTTAAGAAAAAGTTCAGAAAACATAACTGACCAAAACATATACACATTAGTATTGATATTGTTAGTATTTCACATTGAAAACAGTGATATTTTAAATACTAAAACCCTTATGTATATTATTTGAGATGCATCTAAGCAGCTGGTGTCTAATCTAAGTTTATTTTAAATTTTCAAACACAAATTAACAGCCAAAATGAACAAATTTTAAGTTTTTTCCAAAGATTTAAATGAAAAAATGTTGGCTGATCAGTTACATTTGTTAACAAATTTGAATGAAATTGTAGTATGCAATGTTTTAATTAAAACATAATGTAATTTTAGCTTTAATTTTAGAATCTTGATTACACTTTGCTATGTTATAGACAATGTTTTATCTTACATTCCATTACACCTTTATGACATATTTATAAGTTTATAACTGACATAAGGTTTGCTGTTTGCAAAACGCAAAAACAAATTTCACTTTTTGAAGCGACTGTATCTTAATTTGGTTTATCAATAAATGTTTCGAATGAAATTATCAACAATAGGAAGTAAAGAAAATGCAAAGATCCCATTAGCTATAAATACAACTCAGTTCACATTTCAAAAAGTTTAATATCATATTCGATTTATAATTATCTACATTAGTTGAAAACAATGCCACTGATTTTAACCATAATCTTGGTTTTTCTATATGGGTTTTTTTTTATTATCAAAGTCTTGATTTAAAAAAAAAAAAGGCCACTTGATAAATATACACTTAATGTTTTTGTTGAAACTTTGATTCAGCTGTGAATAAAGGGCCATTTCACAGCTTTTTTGGCACCTCTCAACTTTAATATCTACTCTGTTTTAGCACATATACTAAACTTTTCCTTTTTTATTTTCCAAAAAAAAAAAAAAAAATCTCTTAACATATAAAAAAAAAATCAATTGAAGACCTTATCAGACAGTCAGAAAACATTACTTTGAATATGTGTAAATTTTTCAGTTGATAAAATCTGGAAACATTTTCCACATATCAGTTTTGCTATATAGAGTCCAAAAAAAGCTGTATAAACAAATCACTAGTCTTAAAGACAGGATCGGGACCATAAGATCTCAACCTACTAATCATGATTTGTCAAGACTAGAATTGATGGATGGATTGATTTATTAATTTATTGTAATTACACTGTCACAACTACAAAGCAACAAAATTCACTCTGTGCATTTAACCCATCACTTTGGGGAGCAGTGGGCTGCCATTGTGCGGCGCCCGGCGAGCAGTGTTGGGCTAAGGGTCTTCTTCAGGGACCCAGAGTGGCAGTCTGTGGGAGTAGGGCTTCATCTCAAAACCTCTGGGATCCAAGTGTAATGCCATAACCACTAGGCCACCACCCCCTGTGGTTCTGTTGTCAAAATGTTGTTCAAATATTGTTTAAACAACCCAAAATTGTTATACTTCATTCAAAATCATTAGTTAGTCGTTCATTATTTGTAGCTAGAACTGTTTTCAAAGAGCCCCTTGTGGCTCTGGGGCTGCAGGTTGCAGACCCCTGGTCTAAAAACACTAATCTGTTTATCTGCCAAATTACCAAACATGCGATTCAACTTCTTAAGTCGTAGCAATCAAACGCCTCCTTTTTAACTATTGTGACTTCCTCAGAAAACGTTTATAAATGGACTGGAGTACCCACAGCCTGATCCTCAAACTGCAGAGTCAGTGATTTGTAGGTCTTTACTAACAGGCCTCTGAGGAACATTAATCAACACATTGTTACTAAAAAGCAGGAAGTAAAAAAAAAAGTTTTTTGCAATCATCAGAAATTATTCAATAGCACTGCATAGCTAATGATAACTAAATCAAGTTTTTCTCTTTTGTTTGTGAATAAAAAATCTAATTAAGAGCATTACTGTACAAATGCTAACTTATCTGCATATAAAGACAGTTAGTAGTCTGATACTGATGCTTTGGGTAAACAAAGCTTCATGTTTTCAAGAATACTGTGTATTAAATGATGTCTAAATGTTCACTTACTCTTTGTCTAGATGTTTCACCACATCAGAGCGTTGGATGTTTTCCAGCTTAAAGAGCTGTTCAGCCAGTCGACAGGCCTTCTCTCTGTCCACCCCGCCTCCATTAATATGAGGCACCGCTGAGTCCTGGTGTTTATCTCCATTAGCCACAACTTCTGGTGGACTTCCACCATCAGGAAGCCCAACATCTTCGGCCTGATCTGACGTCTCAGCCTGTTGGTCCACATGGTTTAATTCCTCGTTCAGCGCTGTAGCCTCATTGTCAGGAGACAGCTGCTCTGTCATGTTGGACTTATTCATCTTTTCTGATGAACAGGCTGTTTGCTGTGGCGGCTCATTCTGCTCTGATGGATCGTTGCCAACTGTGGACTCCGTAGCTTCATCACAAGCTGTCTGCTCTGGCGGATCTTCTGGAGTTTCTGGTGGGGTTAACTGGTTTGGGGATGCCATCTCTGGAGGCTGGTCCTGAAGCTGCTCTGTTGGATCAGACTCTTCTGCGTGCATCTTGGGCTCTTCACTCACTTCACCTGATTCAGACTCTAAAGCTTCAGGCTGCACTGTAGCCACCCTGTCCTGATCACTCTCTAAAGAGGGAGTCTCTTCCAGATTCTCACCCTCTTCTTCTCTTCCCAGAGAGTTTTCTACACTCTCAGCCTTTTCTGCCTGTTCTGATTCTTCCTGGTTGTTATCATCAGACTCTGAAAGCTCAGGATCCACCTTCTCATTTACATCCTCACACATTTCTTCAGGCAGCACTGAGAGGTCTCCACCTAAATGATCTGGTATATCTACGTCCTTCTTGTCCCCGTCTTCTGGAAGTTCCAGCGCTGGAAGATCTCCCAGTGAACCAGTAGGTGAGTCTAGTGTGGTGTTGTCAGTTTGCAGCACTTCTGCAGGTACTTCCCTAAAAGGTTTCGATAAAACATGCATTTTAATTATATTTAAAATAGAACAACACACATTGAAGGAGGGTTCCGTTCTAGAGAGCACACAAAAATCTATTTAGAAAGGTGTGAACATAAAAAGAAAAAAAATGGAGTGTGTTAAATGGTGATGGAAATTGTGATGTGACAGCTTTAATTTTAGGAGGGCTTAGAGAGGCTTCAACTTAAACTACAATTCATTAATTTTAATGTTCAGTATCATTAATGGGAATATCGTTCAAGCAAGCAACACTCTTTCAAACTAAAACTGAAAAAAAAAGCATTAAACTTTACTTTTTTGTGCAATCAAGCCAACATTTTAACAAACCACCCAACACATTACAGCAAGTCATTAGTTATTTGACTAACACTAGGTCAAAATGCAGAAGTGGGTCATGAAAATGTCCTCATTGCTTTTATAGGAATTCAGAAGGGAAGTAGAAAGCTTATGGAAATTAAAAGCATAGGAAGCTTGTCTTTAACTTCTAAAAGCAGTTTGCACATTTGAATTATTCAGGCTCAAAGCAAAGCCAAGAAGGAAAGACATAAACACGGAATTGAGAAAAGCATTTTAGCTGTCTGCCCCATCAGGCTTTGGCCTGTATGGGGTTCTCATAATGAAAAAATGCAAGACAACCAAAAGAATAAAAAACACTGAAAAGAAATGTTGCTTATTATATGGAATCTATGACTATAACTTTTCTTTGTTTTTTCGATTTGATGCAAAGACTTAGAAAGCATCCACTTAATTGTGCTGTTTTCAGAAAAATTTACACTCAAAACTGCTATACTCACCACTTTGGTTTCCATAAAATAGTTTTTTCCTGTAAGCAAGAGGAAACTGTGGTGTTCATCTTTTAGCCAGCAGACAGGCAGTGTGCAGCAAAAAGATGCAGCAGAGGCAGATTTGTGACTCTGTATGCTTCATTGAAACGGAATAAGAGACTCTGAAGGGTTCAGCATTTCCTGATATATCTCACTAAAGGAGTTTACCCAAATACCATTGGAACTTGCATGAATAAAATAATTTTTCAAACCTATGTATAGCTCAATGCGAGTAGCTGACAGATGCCTAGTTCACAGTTATTCTACAGTGAGAAATATGACTCTGATAGGAGAACTGGAAACAAGACAGAACTAAATGTTTACACCAAAGCTCCAAATAATTATGAAACCAATCGAAAAGGTTTCATTCTAAAGTGAGTTACATATATTGATAACTGAGAGTTTAAGAGTAGAATCGGGAGTTAAGGTCAGAAACAATGACTGAACAGCTGTAGAGAATTTGGAAAGGTTGTCTCATCTTCATGTGATCTATAAAAAGAAAAAAAAAGTTTGCAAAGCTAATTCTAGTCAAACCAGAAGACCTTAGAGTCCTTAGAGGGGTAAAATCTAAGGAAATCTACTTAACCTCCACTCTATTATGGTTAAAAACATGCTGGTGAGGCATTAGCTGTTTTAAACAAAGAACTAATTGGGTTGTTTGGGGAAATTATTTTAAATGTTAGCATGTTTTAACTGATGACTTTGTCATTATTTTAGACAACAGCGCTGATTCATTGACAGTCAATGTGAATGATTCAATCTTAAAGGTGATGAGTACTTTATTTGTCAAAACCTGATGTAAATGCAGGATCTTTTGCCTTTTTTTTTTCCTCCACTGGGTATACTGTCATTTGAAGTTTCCCCTTTCTTTATGTGAATGAAAAATACTCACAGATCAGTCAGAGAGCTGACAGTTTCAGCCTCTTCACTTTCTTCCTGAAGGGAAACGTTGGAGACACTCGGCTGTTCCTCCTCCTCGCTCACTTCCCAATGTTCTTCCTGGGTGTCAACACAAGCTGCTACAGCTGGTTCCTCCTCGTCGGGAACTTCTGTGTCACTCTTTTCCTCATGTTCTTGCTCAGTCTCAGAACTATCTGCTAAAGCCGGCACCTTCTCATTGGAAACGTTAGTTAAACTCTCCTCCTCTTGAACCTCCTTCCGGTCCTCCTTGGCACTGTCAGTCCCAGAACCTTTCGTTAAGCTCGGTTCTCCTTCTGAGTCTTTTTGCTCGCTCAGCAGAATACTAATCTCTTCTTCCTTTTCTAGTTTCACATCTAAACAAGTGTCCACTGCCTCTGATGAACATTGAATCTTCTCTTTAGTTTCTGGTAAATCCTCGTCTGATGTTACTGAGCCTTCCTCCTCTTCATCTGAAGCTTCTAGAAGAGTTGGCAGAAATTGTAGAAGACCCAAGAAAAGACAAATAATTTGAAAATAACTGATTTTCACACTAAAACTAAAAATAACAACAATTATAGAGCTGTAATGTTCCACATACCATTGCTACTTTCAGACTTCTCGGCTGCTGAATCTTCCTTTTCCTGTTTCGTTAGCTCTTTCACATCTGCAGCATCACATGGCTGAAAGAATTGCAACACAGACGACCGAACATAAGCTTACAGAGAAAAACTTGTGATTCCGTGTGAGTTCACTCATCTGACCAGCAATATGTACGCTCATTTAGCCACAGAGACATACAGCAACAAAGTGGGAGAAAGAAAAAATAAATCCTGTAAAATTAGGTTTGTTGGTTTTCATTTTTAAGTGTGGATTTCATTTTTACTCTCAGGTAACAGCAGCAAGAAATTGTCACACTTTCTCTTTTTTCTAAATGAAAGTTTTCATACCTTAGATTCACTTCCGGTGCTCTCTTCAGCTGGGTTTAGAGGCTGTGTATTAACTTCATCTTGTTCCTCTTTGTCCTCCTCTTTAAAAGGCTCGGCAGTAACATCTTGAGGGTGATGGTGAGGAGAGAGGGAAGTGCTGCGGATACTCGTCATGCCCTCAGAGTAAAGCTCATTGGCCAAGCTGCTGTCAGTCATGAATGAAGCATTCTCTGCAGAAGAGTCAGGCATCTCCCATCCCACAGAGGCGAAGGTAAGAGAGAGGTGGGAGCAGGCGATGGGCTGCGGAGACCATATGGTTTCCTCAAACTGTTCTGCATCTTTAGGAGATCCGTCTGAGGCAGCTTCCTCCTCATATGTCAGTTCTTTCTCTACCTCATCACCAAACACCAGGTCCCCCTGCTCTCCGTTTATGCTCTGACCCGATGAGGCCTGCAAGTCTTGTGGTATTTCGGCTTCTTCAACATCCGGCATAGAAGTGCATAGTTTTTCCTCCTCCATTGGCGCCTCTTGGGCAGCTCTGTTGTCAGCTTGCGTAAGGTTTAGAGAGGGATTTTGAAGCTGTTTCTCTACAAAAGGTGCTCGCTTCCTGCATTAGGCCAGATGCTTTTGCAAGGTGCCATCACTGTTGGATTATTAGATCAGATTTGATTAGATTAGATTCAACTTTATTGTCATTACACAGGTACAGGTACAAGGCAACGAAATGAAGTTTAGGTCTAACCAGAAGTGCAATAGCAACAAGTGCAGGATAAATAATGTTTCCATAAATATAGGACATCGGTTTCTACTGAATGAGTATAGAGATGAATACCATTAGAAATAATGAATATAATATATAGATCACTAGAGTAATGAACTAAATTTACAGCTGGATATGTACTGAATATAATATACAGGTGGATATTACTATAGGAAGGGTTTTTAAAGTTATGTACAATAGCATATATACAGATGGGTTTTACTATAGAATGAATAAATAAAGTTTGGACAGAAGCTATCTAAATTAAAGTGCAGTGGAAGGTAATTGCAAATTACATTTAAAGTCTGTTATTGCAAATGTATATCTAAACAATTGGTACTGTGAATAAGCAGTCGGCAGTGCAAATATAAACAGTCGGCAGTGCAAATCAATATTCAGTCAAAGTGAGTAGTGCAAGATGCATATAAAGAGTTGTTCCAATAGTAACAGTCAGGAGTGCAGGTGAACATTTCAGTCTTCTAAAAAAACAAAACAGCAAAAAGGTAGAAGGTGTGAGGAAGGAGGGTAGAGTCTATCCGTGAGGGTTAGAGTTCAGTAAAGAGACAGCCCTAGGCAAAAAGCTGTTCTATGCTATGAAGAGGAAATAATTAAAACACTTCTAACTCCACCCTCACCGGCTCTGAAAATAGGTATGAGGAATCTCCCTAAGACTATTCAGAAAATATTTACTCTTATTTTCAGGAATTTCATGTGACAGAGCAACACTGTCAAGTGTTTTACTGATAGAAGATATTCCAAATGTTGCTGTCTAACACCCCTAAAGAAATCTAGTGTAACCGTTTGCCTATAGATTGGCAGATTAAGTGCATCATCCAACCAAGACATGGCTGCCAACCTAAAGAAACAGACTGGGAAACAGCAGTATTAACCAGAGAAGTGGCAAGAGGGCCCAAGGTAACTCTGGAGGAGCTGCAGAGATCCAAACCTTTGGTGGGAGAATCTGACAGGTCAATTATTTCTTCTTTACTCTACAAAGCCAGGTTTTTTTTTTTTTTTTTTTTGGGTAGGTAGGGGAGAAGAAAACAATTAACCGTTAAATCCAGTTTAAAATCTGTGGCAAGACAGGAAAACTATTCTTCACAGATCCTATCCATTCACTCTGACTGACATATAGCTATACTTTAAAGAATTTTAAATATAGCTAAATGCCTGTGCAAAGATAGTGGAAATATTTAAAAACGTTCTGCAGCTGTGGCTGTGATGATCGGGGGGTTTTGCTAAATAATGCCTCTGAGGGTGGATGCAAATGCATGTTTTAAATTTGCAATTGTAGAAACAAAAAGGGGGCCATTTAGTCTTCTCTTTTCAATTTACAATCTTGCATCGTTTGGTTTTAGTTGATTGTTGAATAATGAAACCTGAAAAGGGTTTAAAACAAACACTTTTGCAAATAAAACCTAGTAATGTTGATGATCACCAGTTGGTTGAATTAAAACGCTGCTAGCAGTTTATTGCAACCAACTGGTTTTGTTAGCTTTCTACTCATTTGCAGAGCTACACACCTTGAAGTTAAATGACACAAAAGCCCAATTTTACTTCCTGGTTTCAAAAAAGAAAGAAAGAAAAAAAAAATCAGCTGAGCGAATGAGCAACAGAAGGAAATAGACTGCTGGGGTGTATAAAGCCGTAATAACCAAACAGATTCGATGGAGAGGGTGGGGTTCAGGGGCTACAGTTCAACCGTTTTGTCTCCTGTTTATCATTTTATCAGCTCGACCCGCTGTGTGACTTCAGATGGATAAAACTGTCTGGCTTTTGAGCTTAACTTTACCATGTGTTGTCAACACAAACCACCAGCAACAGCCCATATCAGAAGAAAGTCCCCCAGCAAATATCACATTATGGGTTTGCTATATAATCCCAGCTTTAACAGTACCTCCTGGTTTCTTGCACAAGATCAATTTTAAGACTTTTTTGTCTATCTTTTATTATTTCATTCATGTCATGTAAGCCAACATCCGGGAGAGACCTTGACCACATTTCCTGTGTGGGTGCTAAGTTCTCAGTTCCTGTCAGTGTGCAAAAAATGCTACAGCAGTTAACTAAGATTGACAAAGTAGAACAGAATCAAAATTAATTAGAATTTGATATATAAGATGTCTTACTTGGAGAAAACTGTTTGCTTCAAAATTAAGAAAAATAAGAGCAGACAGCTTCAAAATGTTGTTCAGTAATTAGATAAAACATTCAGGATTTAAATAATTATAAAAGGTGTGTTTAATATTTCAACAAGGCTTATCCACTAGGTATGGTAGAATATTTTCTGGCACTGTGGACTGTAAAAACTCAATGAAATCCTCCTCTGATGAAGAAGCTTTTTAAAAAGGAACAGTTCTGGGTCTTGTTAAATAAAATACACAAACGTATAAGAGGAAACACAGAGCCCGGATACGGCAGCATCTCGTCTATTCTCAGATTATAAAGAACTGTTGCTACAGAATAGGAAGTAACTACAGCATATCAGTAGTTTAGGAAGTACAAAGTAAAGAGTGATACCTTAGGGAACACAATAAAAACAGGAACAACCATTACAAGGTAAAGTTACACTTGTGAAATTATTTGTAGGCAATGATGCAGTAGGGTTGCAGATGTTCGTTTGAGATTCATAAAAAATAGAAAAGGATTTTTAAAGAAAGCATTATTGCACATGGTTTGGAGAACAACTTGAACGAGAATTAGAACTTGAATATCTTTGAGAGGAATTTATTAGTCTGTAAAAGCATGACTTACCCCCTCCAGGCACTTGAAAGCAACATCATATGATCAGCCAGCTTGTGAGGTTTTGACCCAAGATTTGTGGGAGGGAAGAGCACCTCGTCGTAACTCTAGATCTGCCGCTGTGAGTTCACAGCTAAACCAAAGCATACCAGTGACACTAAAGTGAGTTTGTCTGAACCTGCTCTGCTTAACAAACAAGGCGCACACACCTACTCTCTCTCAGCCAGTTCACCTCTTACTTTCTTCTGCCTCATGCAAATCCAGGTCCTTCTTCTTTAAGCTTCCTGTGCCTATCTGGAGGTGTGTCGCCTTTTTTCTTGTAGCCTCTGAGCAGCAAGTTACAGGAAGGATGAGGGAAGAAAGGTGAAAGCGGAAAACAAAGAGGAAGAGAAGCTCATCTCTGATTGGAAGATAACTCAGGAGCTAAAAAGACACCTGAGAGGGCAGGGGGACCACGCCCACAGCCTCAGAGGCATGAACACACACACTGGTCAGGTAAGGGGAGTGGCCCCACTTCATTCCTGCAAACAAACCACAATGTGGCAAAACCAGATGCTACTCATATTAAACTGGCATAAGTCATCATCTCTGAATGTTTTTTTTTTTTTCTAATTGAACTTTATAATGCTTTATAAAGCTGGTAGAAAATCTGGTTTATCACAAACATTCATAAGATCCTCATTTGAATAAAATTGAATCTCAAATAAATTGCACAATAGTCTGAGAAACACAATTAAATTCTATGTAGGTTTCAGATGTTGTGTTGTTGTTTTTTCTCTCGTTTTTTTGTGCCAAAACTTGACTAGTGAATACAGGACTGTGTCCAACAATAAGTTGCACTGGTCTAGAAACACTGAGGCGGTCTACAATAAGGGCCAAAGCCGACTCTTTTTCCTTAGGAGGCTGAGGTCTTTTAACATATGTCGGACGTTGCTGAGGGTGTTTTATGAGTCTGTTGTGGCCAGCATGCTTTGCTGTCACATGCTGGGGCAGTGGGCTGAGAGTCGCAGACAACAACAGACTAAACAAACTGATCAGGAGGGCCGGTGATGTTGTGGGGGAGGAGCTGGACACGCTGACGACTGTGGCAGAGAGGAGGATGCTGTCCAGGCTTCAGTCCATCTTGGAAAATGTCTCACATCCTCTCCATGACACACTGGCCCAGCAGAGGAGTTTCTTCAGCAGAAGAGTCCTCTTACCAAGATGTATCACAGAGCGCCACAGGAAATCATACCTGCTTGTGGTCATCAGTCTCTACAACGCCTCCCTCAGAAAGTCATACCCCCCCACCCCCGAAATATATGTATATAGTTACATATGTATTTATATATATTTTTATTTTTAGTGTGGAAAGTTGTATTGTATTTCCTTGTGTTGTATTTGATTTCTTTAGATGATGAATGTGTGCAATATGTTGTTTGTATACTTGGAGCGTGTAGCGAAGATAATTCTTAGCACAGTGGTTGCAAATGCTGGGTGCTCCTTTGGTTCAACATAGAGAAGCATGATGCAAGTTACATGTTGCAATAAAATAAACTTGAAATGTCATATAAATCCTAAATCTACCACCTTTAAAGTGTAATAGTTTTTATTTTAATTTATTTTAATATGTAACTTAATTGGGTGTTGTTTTCAATGTGCCTTTTTGTTGTTGATGTATAAATACCTCTAAAAATGTGTCATGATTTATTCCAACATGCATCCCCTTTATAATTACGTCTAGCCAGGGGGCCCGCCACCCTTGTAATATTAAATAAAAAATCAAATTAAAACCGCGAGCGGTATTGACGGCCCTCGCAGCTCGCACCGCCTGGTATGTCGCGACCGCGGGAACCAAGCGACCGCCGGCTCCACGCTCCTTCCCAGCCTATGCTCCTGCTCTTCAGCCTATGCCTGCTGCTGCTTCCCCTCATCCTCTTCATCACCCTGTGCTGCTCCTCTTCATCCTCCTCTATCTCCGCTCGGCCTATCGCGACCGCGGGAGCCAAGCGACCACGGCCCCCTTGCACCTTCCCAGCCAGCGGAAAAAGCTCCACGCTTCACCTCTGGACCAGCAGAAGACAACCACAGCGTTGGTCAGGAAGGGTTAAACTAGGGATTAATGTAATATGTGGGA